CGTCTGTTCTGTCTTGACCATTGTTGTATTATCATGATATAAGACTTCAAGTGGAAACCGCTCGCAATTGCTGTTATCCTGCGTAGCTTGTATAGATTTCGAATTTAGAAGGCAAAAACTGGATATATTTTAACCTTTTTGAGTAGGCTTTGGATGTCGGAAGAAAACAGGTCAAAAGCAAGGAGGGAAACCCTGAACAAGATCAGAAGCTTCAAGTAGCTGAACAAAAGATGGGAGAACTTTTGTCAGCTATGGCTATACTTGGGAAGGAGGCTGCTGCTGCCATGACTTCTGTGGAAGCTCAGCAACAACGTCAAACATTGCAGCGACTGATATCCATGGTAGGCTTTTTTTTATAGCTTGGTTTTGCTTGAATATTTGACTAAAACCACAATCTGATTGAGTTTCCTTGTATGAAATGACTGAAAGGATCAAGATTTGTAAAAGTCACTGAATCAACTCGATAGAAGAACCCAAGGAGAAAACTATAGTGTTATGATTGACTCCTTCAGTTTCTATGATATATTTTATCCATCAAGATGTACCAGAATATTTTGTTTTGGAAAATATTTCCTGAAACGAGGGCTTAGCATTTGTGATATAAGTATGCTACCCAATGAGTGTCAACTAAAGGAGAATGTTGTCAAGTTAGTTGACTGTTGCAAGTCTGCTGCTGGTTAGACTTTTTTTTCTCATCTTAACGCGATTAAGCTGGCCTGTTTGCATCCTACAGGTTCAAGCTGAACGTGCATATCACCAGCGAGCAACAGAAATTTTGGAGCAGCTTCAAGAAAAGGTATGTACTTCGCTCAGTCAAATTCATTTCTGAGTTTTGCATAGTGCCAGGAGAGCTATGTAGTATGATTGAAGTGTACTGTAGGATCTAGGAGACAGCGTTGAATGAGAAATTGGTTTAGGTTCCTTAAAGTAATGCTGAAGGTAGGAGTGAATGGCATCTAGGCATGCAGTAGAAGTCTAGTGTTAACGCTTTAAGTTGCAGATGATTAGTGAGCGCCAACGCAGTGAATCAACTACACCAGCATCAAGCGACACTCAAACGCCTCCTCCGTCATACGATGATGTCAAGGTCAATGGTGGATCGCAGCATGCTTCTGCGGATGTTGGCTCGAAGGAAGCGAAGTCCTTGTACTTCCTTGCTGAGGTATTTCTCAATTGCCGCCATGCCGCGTAGTTATCTGCTTGTTATGTCGAAAATCCCTGACGTTAGGTTAAATTGTTCTTATTCTATATGAGATTATGCAGCAGCAGCAGAATATGTCCATCAGTCGAGTCTTGTGTATCGGCATGGAGTCAGCTGTGATTAAATTTTCCTCATATTTTGTAGGTAATGCATCCATTTGAAGCAGAGCATGGAGGAGAACTAAGCTTAGCAGTTGGAGATTATGTGGTTGTTCGTCAGGTATGCGTACATGAATCGCGTTGGGATTTCAACCAAAATAGTCTTAAAGCTGCCGTGGATTAATACCACGACATCTCATCAATGCTAGTTATAATGCCCTCTGAAAATGTCCGACTCCAGGTGGAAACTAATAGATGTTTATGTTTGGCAGGTGTCTCCAAGTGGGTGGTCGGAAGGAGAATGTAGAGGTAAAGCAGGGTGGTTTCCATCATCCTATGTGGAGAAGAGGGGGGCCATTCCTGCAAGCAAGGTGACTGATGCCGGACTAGCAATCTAGTCTGTCTGTAAAGCTCCACAGCACTCTGCTGATGAGTCGTAGTTGCGATGTTTGGGGTTCAATTCCCACATTCTTTTGATGAACACCTAGTTTAGTTTGTAGTTTGAACAAAAAGTCAACATTTTAGCTTCAGATTCAGAGATGATTAAATAGCCAGTGGTAAAGCTCCGATCTGATGGATTGTAATGGATCTGAAACTCAAATTAGTTGATTTTAATCAACCTCTTTCATATTTTTGGATGCTCGTATTTAAGTCCCAACTTTGTACTACTTTTGCTATTCTTTCAATGCCACGCCAGAGCAGAGCCACAAAGTGTTAAGTTTTAACTACTGCATGGTACTTAGTTGAACGTGTCCTCTAGAATTTTTGGCAATTATATCGTCTATCAACTTCAGGACAGAAACAAATCCTCTACTGGAGATGCGAATCCTACATATTTACTTGTTCACCAGCAATGTAGCTGAAATGTTGATCAACGCTCTCGGAGAGCAGACTAAAGTCGGGAACAAGACACCGTTCTTGACCTTTTGAGTGCATGATCCCAGGAGCACTCAACCACCAATACTCCGTCTTGGACACCTTACATTCGAAGTTTTCCCTCTAAAGGTCACATAACATTCCTGAGCAAATACCTGGGATGGGAATCAAGCGCTGTAACAGTGTCTCCGTATCACTAACGGTTGACTCTACACTTTTCAAAGAATAATTGCTTTGACATATTGATCTCATTTTGGAATAGTAGATAACAGACTCAGTCACGGTTTTCAAATCAACGTTTCTGAAAAACAAAATTCATGGTGACGATCATACCAGCCAGGAACTTTAGTTAAGTAAAATTCAAAGCAATCTTTTCACATATAAAGTTATTTTTTTTATTTACGCTTCTATTGCAAAATTTTAAGGTTAGATTCAAACTGAAGTAAAGCTTACTTTTCACAAAAGTTCCACAGAAACTCTCGCAAAAATTGCTCAATTCAAATGAAGACTAAACCAAAACCTGATTAACAAAATCAGGCAGGGTGTACCTAAAGCGCAAGAAGAAAAATTCCGTAACTCGCTGCAATAAGAAAAATTTCAACCGTCTCATCGAAGAGGAGAGAGGTAAAACTTACAACATCACAACACTTCCAAAAGAGTGCGCTTTATCCTATGTTATAATGGATCCCGATAATTAGTGCGAACAGGCAGTCGGCCAATGTCATTCGGCATATCTGCTCAGGTCTAACACATCTACCATAATTCAGACGACCGTCTTTCAGCCTAAAAGCTTCGCAATGTCGCCCTCCACTGTCACACTCAACAGTCCCTCCTTGTCCACCGAAGCCTTCCGACACACCTCACCCACCTGCGCCTCGTTCTCCTTCAACTTGTCCACCACAGCCTTCAACACATCCTTCTGTAGAAACTCGTCCTCCATCTTCGCTGCAGCTTCCTGCATCAACCAAACCTCCGACGCTTCCGACAAAATCAGACCTGCTATCATGCCTCCTAACTGCTTCGGGGCCAATGGCGCATCCATCGCCATGTCCTCAAGCCCCTCCGCCACCATCACCACACCTCCCCGCAAGTCCTCGCTCGATACCACTCCCTTCGACTGCAAGTGCACCAACAGTTTCAGCACCAACCCGCACTCCTTCTCTCGCATCTCCAGCGCAGTCGAAATCGCGATCCTCACAAACTCCGGATGGAAACTGGGCTTCTTCAACTCTTGTACGCACAGCAGTGCCTCGTTCAGATCCACGATAGAAAAGTACTCCTTCAGCAGCGACTCTGACTTCTTCGTCAGCTCTGCAGACGGGGGCCCAGCCGCAGCCACAGGTGCTTCAGCCGCAGGTGCTGGACGTGCTACTTCCTTCACTGGCTCCGACACCTTCGCTGCCTCCACCGTTGGCTTCGCGGGTGCATTACCAAGCAATGCACTTGGTTTGCCCATGAAACCAAATCCACCACTGCCCTGTGGAAGAACCCTGGCACCCATCGAGCTCGACCGCATCGATGGAGAACCATATCGCCCCTGAGCACCACCCACTGCTCCCATTCCTCCACCCATCGGACCGCCCATCCCACCGAAACCCCCTGCTCCTGGCATCGGAAGAACCCCAGAGCTGTCTTTCCTGCTCCTCCTTCCCACGCTCACCGTCTCCCACCCGTCCGCCTCCAATCCTGACCCCATAATGCTCCCCATCGTCGGAACCCCTTGCATCCCCCCCCCTGCTCCTGGCATTCCAGGCATTCCTGGCATTCCCCCTCCTGCTCCAGGCATTCCCGGCATCCCGGGCATTCCTGGCATCATACCTCCGGCCCCTGGCATGAACCCGGGCATCGCTGCTCTCCCGTTTCGAAGTGCCATCATCCCCGGTCGTAGCCCCAATTTCGCTTCCGCATCCGCGTGAATCTCGCTGATCGTCTTCGCCTTAATCTCCTCTCGCCTAGGCACCCACTTGTTCGACCTCAGGTCCAGGATGTCGCGCACCATGAACCGGATTCGAGACGCCAGGCTCCTGCTGTCTCCGATCACCCTCAGCCGGGCGAAGTACGTGTCGAACGCCATCCTCGACTTCGCACTCTCCTCCAGCTGCTTCCCCACCGTCGTGAACAGGTGGCACAGAGCCTCCACGTTCTCCTCCGCCGGTATTCCCTTCGGGTCCTGCCCCAGCAGCTCCTGGATGCAAGCGTGCACGATCTTCTCCGGCAACATCTTCTGCTTGAACAGTTCACCAATCAGCTTGATGTTCCCCAAAGTCCGCAGCTTCACCTTCTTCTCCTTCTCCGCGCGCTCCACTGCCTGCTCCGCCTTCGTCATCTTCTTAATCTCCTCGCGCATCGCGTCCGCGCCTTCGAACTCCTCCTGGCACGTGTTCAGCAGCACTCGCCTGAACGTTATCGGCTTGTCCCCGGCCTGTTCGCTCGGAAACTCCGGCAGCTCCTTGCTCAACTGCTCGCACAGCCGCGCGTACATGGCGCAGAACGTCGGCTCCAACACTGCTTTGTCGAAGATCAGCGAAATCACGCCCTGCAATATCTCAGCCGAGCTGATTCCGGCCTCCATCATCTGCTCCGCCAACACATCGTACTTCTCGGGCGTCAGCTTGTTCAAAATGCCCTTCACCGTCCGGTAAACCTTCTCCTTTTCGGACTGGGCTCCCCTTCGAGCCGACCACGGATTGGCGGCCTTGACAATTGCAGGAAGAGGCCCCGAGGGTGCGTTCTCCTGCTGACGCTGGCCCTGGGAAAAATTGGATTGGTCTCGCGGACCCCGATTGTCATTTCTATCATTAAAATCGCTCCTGTCATTTCTGTCGTTGCGGTGCTTCGGGTTCCTGTCCCTTTGCTGGTCTCGAGGCGACGATCTATCCTCCTGCACTGACGCAGATGTAGGGGGCGGAGCTCGAGCTTTCCAATCCCTGTTGTCGGGCTCCGCAGCTCTAGGCGTTGGCGGCTGCGGCAAATCCCTAGACTGCCTCCTAGTCCAGTCATCGTCTGGACCAGCACCATTGATCAAGCCATCGATCCCTGAGTTCACTAGCTCCTCCGGTGCCTCCGCATATGCATCCTTGAATTGCAGCAATCGATCCCTGGTGTACCGGATCCTTTCGTGAGAACTCTTCGCAGACCTAGCTTCCGGGGGCGTCCTGACAAACCTCGGCGCATTAGGGTTTCCTGCACCCTCATCTTGATGTGCAAACCCCTGACCAACGTTACTCCCCTGCTGACTGGCACTCAAGTTGCTTCCTCCTCCAAAAGGCCGAAACGCGACTGACCTACCCCCACCCGGCCGCAAGGACACGGACGGCGCATGCATCGACTTCGAGACGGTATATGCGGCGGCATCCATACTCATAGCTAACCCACAACTCTCTTCAATGCAAAAGCCACTACCCCTCTACAGCTTTCCTTGCCCCACCTCCCTGTGTTGTCCCCTGATCGCCGTATTCCAACCGCAAGACGAGCTTGACAGCTCCAGAGCAGGCTGCTCAAAGAAAGAGCTAGGCAGCCCCTTCGCAGTTGTTCCAACTTGGGTCCTGGCTACCTTTGTCGACGCCTTCCCCTTCCCCTGCCCGTGCCCTGCCCTGCCCTTTACCCTTCCCCGCCGATAGTGAACTGCTCCTGACACATAGGTCGGGAGGAAAACCCGTAGAGGCGCCGGAGTAGCCCCTGCTTTATATCTCTTGACGAGAATTATCTACTCTACTGTTTCTACTGGTCGAGTCCAGATGGATTATTCCGGGATCGACGGATTGTAAAAGTGCAGTGCTCATCACCCAACTCCCTCACCCTGCCACCTCGTTGTCTGCTCTTCATCTCCCTCGTCGTCCGTCCTCCATCTTCATCGCCGTCTGCGCTTCATCTTCTTCAATGTCATCGTCGGCATACAATTTTTTGGTTCGCCTTTGTCATTGCCAAGCTTATGAATGCTATTGTCGCCGTTGCCAGTCTGCTGTTGATGATCTCGTTTCGTCTCATTCACCAAACCCTAAATCTCAACCTCGGCCACTTGACTGTGGGACCTGTTGACCTAACTTCGCCTCCATACGTATCTTCGATTACTGCGCGCATGTCTGAAAAAAAGTATATTATACTTGTACCATCCATTTACGTGGGCTCTGATTTGATCTTAAAATGCAAGACATAATTAATCCAGTAGGGCGAACTACAGTGGTTTTGAGAGTCTAAGTTGTGCAAGATCATATCATATCATATATGTATGTGTATATATATATATATATATATATATATCTCTGCACACATACAAATCATAGAATGTTTTTGAAGTGAAGAAAAATGCTTTAGATCCATTGTGCTGGGTGGTAGACATGCCTGAGAAAGCAGACGAGTTAAATAAATTTCATTACATGGTTAAATGGTTAAATGTTTTTCTACAACAAATTGAGGTAAGTGGGTATAGCCAACTATGGTGCACATGCACGTCTACGTGGAATATTAAGACATAATTTTGGGGAGATGTTTTGCTACAGCATGGACTGTTCCAGATGCCAACCCATGGCCAAAGATTCCATGTTATTATTGGAGTGAATATTCAAGTCTGGCAAAGTTGATTCACTTGAACCTTGCCAGAATTCAAGTGTATCAACTTAGCCAGGTTTTGAAGGTCTACATGCAGAACGAATTCCGTGGAGGAAATGCCAGCTTCATCCTACATTAACCTTGGCCCAAAAAGTGGTTTGAACATTCCAAGACTATACTAGCAAAAGACTATGCAAAACTAAAATAATAAATTCATTTTAAATCATCAAAAGTAAAAATAAATAAAAAGAAAGAATAGAGAAGAAGGGGAGATTTTTTTTAATTAAATTAAAAATTAAAAATTAAAAAACCCCAGAGGCACCTAATTCAAACAAACATGAACTAATCCATGTCGATTCCCTGTATATATCTCATTCCTTTCTTCATCATAAAACAGGGCAGTAACATCCTTCAGAGCTTCCTCCTCTGAACTTCTGATGCTTGAAGAATTTGCACGTGCATGCGGGCTAATTTTGCCACTTGGATCATACGCCCTAATTTTTTCAAGGCACTTTCCTGTCAAGATGTTGCTGATGTTGATGGACCCAACTAAAACAAGCAATGAATACGTATTAAATGAAAAGGTAGTATCAACGAAACATTACATATCCCACAATATCCACTACATCAAACAGCCGTTCTCATAATATCAGAAGCGCAGTGTATACTTCATAGCAGACCCACAATCGATGAAGTCTACTTTTTTATTGCGATGTAGCAGATGATTGAAGGACTTGAGAACCGACCCATCCTCTCTGGACAATATCTTCAGTGGCACATAGCTCTGTGCCCTATCAAACATCAACAACATAATCCCAGGGCTGGCAAAAAAGCACAAAAAGAAAAAAAACATCATATTGACGTACAATTATAAGATTGAACTGGGGAAAACCCCAAGGATACATCAATGAATACTCATCCTCGAAGAAAGCAGGAAGGAAAAGGTGAATACCTTATTTTGATTTCTTGCACATGCTCATCAGACATAGAATACAGCATTGTATAATTCTTCAAATCAAATACCTTTTAGATTCTATTATCTCAATCCGACGTTCAACATCAATACAAGAAAACGAACTCCCTGATACATTTCAATCACACCACTTGAGGACTATAATAATTCTCAAAAGTACGATACCATAGTACCTAGTTGGAGCTGCTTGCCAAAACATTGAAACTCGCTATCAAAAATAACCAGAAGTGATGTCACCACTATGCAAATAAAAGTCCCAATGTTATGGCAGTTTGGAGAATCTAAAGGAGCAAGACTAAATACCTGGCTTGAGCAGAATATGTAAGTACCTTTCCATTGACGTCGTCAAACTCGACAAACCCGGGCCATCTCAGCGATTCTGATTCAAACAAAGAAAATCCAGCACCAGGCTGTCCCCTCGGATATATCTGGTGAACATATCAAACGCTTTACTGATTCAATCCCAAACTTCAGCTTAAACCCGAAATTATAAATATACAACCGCAAGTCAAAGAAGACACATGAACATTCTTAGGAAAACTTCGCTTAATTGTCCTGCCCAATATCAGTTATCCTAACTCTATCTTGAACATACACAAGTCGAGATTCAGATCCTATCACTAAGTGCAACTGTTCTGCTTACTTAATAGGTGTTGCCCTGCACTTCAAAGAGCTGAAGTTGTCAGAGGCATAAACCGACACAGTGATTAATGAATCGTTATTCTTGTCGTAGAAAAGGCTGCGAATCACTTCATCAAGGCTGATGTTGAGAAAACATATCCTCTTGATTGTATCTGCCAAAATAAGTAACACGCAATCGATAAATCTAACCACATTATGGTAATTCAAACCCAGAATGAACTTACGACGGTGTACTAGCCAACAGACAGATTCAAACCTATACTAAAGGCAGCACACATCCCCAAGTGGGTCAAGGCAGACACTATATCTCGAGCGGCCACGATCTCTACTATCCTTGACCTCTTCTTCAAAAACGGTAGCTTCAAGAGGTAATGAGCCTTTGGATCATGTGTATCGAATTCCTCCTGCGAGAAAATGAGGCATAAAGACAATTGAATGAATATCCGTCCAGCACGTTAAAATCGGTGCTCTTACATGAAACCTATGTCTCCAGTTCAGCCCTGTTCTCAAGGGCGATACACAAGCCAATGATCGATTCTCTTTCGAAAGCATGAGGTAGGAAGAGTCAGTACAAATACTTCAGAAAATACACCACAATAGAGGTACAAATACATCAATAACGACAAAGACATTGCAACTGACAAAATGAGATAAATGAAACACATAGACCCGAAGAGTTTATCCTGGGTTCTGAAAAACCCTAACAGCAACTGATAATTTGGCCTGCTAACATGCCAAATGAATTGGAAGTGGCCAAACTGTTCGCAGCAGCTTCACTTTTCAGACGAGCTACATGTAAGCCCATTGCAGTAATTCTACAGCAGTATTCACGACAAAACTTTTGATTGAAGTATTTAATCATAGTAAAGTTGACCCGGTGTACAAGAAGAGCGATTGAGTCAAGGTGAAGTTCAATTGAAAGTGGCATAGCTTCACTGTAACGGAAGCAGTTCATCTCCTCGAGCTCAAAATCAGCATAACAACCTTACGTGTAAGGTATCCCAACAGAAACGAGTAATAAAAAAACCTCGTGTCGACTCACGATCCATAGAACCCATGATGTCAAACCCAATTGCCTCAAAATTCCGAAGGATAGAGGTTAAACTCGCACCAGAGAATGAAACACTTAAACAGGTAATCCTCTCGTCGCATCAGATGTAACCTAAAAATTGCAGCTGATCGACAGAAAATTGAAAACATTGACCATACACTTCAGTTGCTGCTCTCTAAATGAGAAAGTTAAAATGAGTAAATCGACGCACACACCACGTAGTATCTACAGAGAGACTAGGCTTCACTATCACCTATCGACCTCGGCGATTTATTAATTGGGACGAGAACGATACCCACAGGTGAGGTCACCGTCAGGAATTCGATAAAAATATCAACAATTTTGTATAAAAAACTCTTAAAATAACAATAATATAATGATGATGATAATAAGCAATAGCCACAATACTCTCGAGCAGTGAAATGAAATGCGAAGACTCGCATTCAGATGAACAACCCACCTGCAAATGAAAGTTCCGAAACTTCTCCTGTGAGTTGGTCCTGTTGAAAGCAAAGTTCCCCGCACGACTGATTTCCCGCTTCAACAACTTCCTCAAGCAATTCTTGGAATCTTCAGACCGCGGCCGCTTTCCGACCACTATCTGCCGCCCACATATCGACCTGGGGCTGCTCTCTATCCTCACCTTACTTATCGACTCCATTGCTCGTCCTCCTCGACCACAGTTCACCACTCCCAACTACTCTCTACCATAACCTTATGTCACCTGCCCGGATCATGCACAACCTCACTCTCCTCACTCTGCTCACTCCAAAACTCTACCCCAAGCTCGTCTCCACACCCACGACCTCTCACAACACACCTCGCCATCGCTTGACAACCGGGAACTACCAGCAAGTCAACAAATGCAAAACACTACACTCAGTCATCCGAATCTAGGTCAAAACCGAACAAGCATTGACACAAGGAAACCTCTCTAATCCGCCCACGTTCTCATGGAAATCGCCTACCTCACTCTTCACCCATGCATCAAAATTCGTGACTCCTGAGAGGTTACTCACTAGAAAACCCTCACCTCAGTGAAGGGTGATGCCATCGCCGGCCGTACTCACCACAACAGACATGGCTCGCGTGGCACCACGCCCCTCGCGGGGGACCTATAACCGCGTGGCATTATGACCTGAACCGCGGAACCCCAAGGGAGTGGTGGTGACATGGCGGCCTTCTTTCTATGTTTAAATATCGAAGTGCGGACAAGCTTTCCATTTCCTACCTTTCCCTCCTTTTCTAGCTCCCTGGTTCCCGCGCTTTGTCCATGCTGGCGACCGACTCTGTTCACCTTAGTCTCTTTGGCGCCAAAATTGTGTGCTTTCCTTAAGATTCTCCTCGTCAGTGGTGGGACTAGAGTATCAAATACCACGTCACTATTGGTCCACTTTGCCACGTCGGATTCTGATTTTGCGCGGGACTTTTTCGCCCATATCCTTTAATCGATCGCTCTGTCACAAAGTCCCCTTCTTTTCTCTCATGCAGTTTGAAGTAAGATTAATTTTCCACGTCATCATCATCAGAATAGTAATAGTAGTATTGCACTAGAGCGTACAGTTAATCAGATTATTTCCAAAATCACCAACTTACGAGAAGTGGTAACCAGGTTATTTCTACATGTTGTAGTTAACAGTATAAAAAAATCCAAGGTGTGATAAATATGTTGAAACCAACGTCTCTTGCTGTTGAGTGTATGTGTGATATTTCTCTTCCATGACTTGCATCATTTGAATACCTACAATAATTTTATATTTTTTTAAATGTAATTGTTTCAGATATTTGAAAGACTAGTCATTTGTCTTTATTTAACTAAATTAAATTTCGAATTTCAAATACCATAGTCATGGTTGATTTGTGTAGAAATGATTGAAAATCTTAAATTTGTGAGATGTGTTAATTTCTAAAAATAAAACAGATGTAGCAATGTTTAAATTTGAATTGCAGAAGAATATACAATTTGAAAATAAATTCTGGGATTGTTTTGATCACTACAATATGTGATAATTTATTTTCTAATATACAGTTTTTTATTTGTATGACTCACGGATAAAATGTATATTTTTTAAATTTAGTGTAGTAAAATTAACATGTGTAAATAGAATGATTCATGATCATCAATCTATAATCAAATCACTTACAAATACATCTACTTATTTTGATGGATTTGATTTAAATCAAGTTTTGTTCATTGATGTCTTTTATATTGAGATTTTTTATTGTAATTATAAAACTTGTTTTTTATTCTAAACAAAAGACATTACAACTGAGGGAGGGAGGATAATATGAAATTTGAGAGTAGCAAAATGCAATTTATATATTTATTTTTATCAAAATGTTGTTACAAAATTGGTCAGATTGCACAACTTTGCATAAGCTTCACACACATGCATGTCTGTACAAACTCACACACTTATTTAGACAATCATAAGTATAATACATCAGTATGTTTTCTGTTTTAATTAGTCAAATTTTAGCTCTTTGTAATATGTTTCTACAAACAATTCTCTATTTGTCTACCATTGATATTATTATGTCATTTTACACCCATCTAACTTGTAATACATAAGTAACATATATAAAAAATTAGTTAAAATATTATATTTATGATATTTTTATTATTTTTAATAAAAGATATAAAATTTAGTTATCATTTTTTCTAAAATTTATTAATTTTTTTTATTAAAACTACAAAAAAATTACATAATTTAAAATTGCAACCAAACTTGTCAATTAAATCATCAAGAAAAAAACTATACAAAATATTTTTCTATAAGACTTATAGATTGTGATTTTAAATAGAAGCTATTATAAGACTCTAATATATATATATATATATATATATATATATATATACATACATACACACCAAATTTAATTTTTAAATAATAAATATAAAAATTAATTATTCATAGATTATATCAAAAAAACTCTTGAGACCTCAAACACATGTCTAACTTGCAAGACAAGTTTATCATATATGCACCATAGTTTTCAACATATTAATCACCTATTGTCAAGGATATGAACTAAAAGATGATGCATAAATCAATGAAATCCGTATCAAAGAAAGAGTAACAAAATAAAAATAAGGAAATATGTATATTAAAAAGAAATTGAAATGACTTATTGCCAAAAGTCAAAGAAACTTGAGACTCTTGAAACTAGACTAGAAGCAAGAAAGGAGTTGACAAGAGTAAAGAGGGCTTCATTCTTATCTCTATATATACTATCTAACTAGTGACTATGTGGCCATATTCTATATGACCTTTGATATGTATTGACTTTGTAGGACACATGCCTTGACTTACAAGGCAAGTTTTTCTACATGTAGGCCACATAATTAGCTTGGTCTTTAAATTAACAACATGTATGGCACATGGCTAACTTGTTGACCAATTTTCTAATCCAAAAAATCAATTATAGACACCTATAAAGTCAAAGCAACATCTATGAAGCTTTTAGGAAGCTTCTATAGAAGATATTATAAAATTAAGTTACTTTTATCTACTTCTACTTACTTCTACCTATTTATACAGATAATTATTGGCTTACATGTATATGTCCATGATATAACCTCCTTTTCTAAAGACGAGTTCTATAAGGAGTGATCATCATATGTTGAAGAAATTTATAATGTGATGAATTGTATTTGCCACATACTCAGATCTTTATTCTCTTTGAAGATGGTTGATAGGGCCTTTCAACCATCAATAATGTCCTATACTAGGGCGCAAAGACCACCCTGTTATTTGATCATTTTTGAAGCCTTCATAAGTTCCTTCAAATAAAATATTTACAACACCGTCAGGAGTTGTTCCTACCTCTAATAAAATTACCAAACATCGAGAGTCTCTTCTAAGGTCGTGATATCAAACATGTTGTATCTTGCCATCTATTCAAGAAAAAATATGTCGTTCTTAAGGATCTTCATCTCGATTACATTATCTTGAAGGTTGTAACAATCATAATATCTTGTCTGGTAGGTCAACAAACAAAGACTTTTCAGTTGAATCCGCTAGTTGTTGATTTTCCATCTTCTTAGCTTCACAAGTACAAAGAAGCTACAAAAAAAGATTGAAAGTAGAATGTTATCTTGTCTAGATCTTGTTTCTTTTATATGGAAGATTTTCATCTTGATTTTGATGGATGTCATGGATGAAAAGCCTCCATCGCCTTTGCTGCATTTACAAGATTCTTTACTGGCTCTCATCTGCGTTCACTAATATCATATCCGCACCAATGGACAAGATATTTCAATTTATTTTGGCACTACCATGAATCTAAGACTTCTTCTACTTTGAATTCTTTATTATTGTCCACTTCTATAGAATGAGGTAGAACTTATCTTCTTCTTGGTATATCGACTATCTTGTATGGTTCAAGAAGAGACACATAAAATATTGGATGGATTTTCATTGACTCTAGTAGGTATAAACAATATGCAATTAGATTGATTTGTCTAGAAATTGGAAATGGTCTAAGCCTACAATAGTCCAACTTTTCACAAAGATGAGTGGTCTTGATATTGCAATGAAGTAATCATACCTTATCACTCATGTGGAATGGTGGTTGTTCTTTTTGATAGACATCCGCATTGATCTTTTGTTGTTCTTGAGCTTCTTTTAACTGTGCCTTCATTGTTGCATGTAGCTCTTACAAATGATTTACTAAATCTTCTGTCGCAAGATTATTAGCTTTTGAAAAGTCAAAAGTATCAAGTCATAGATGACAACCATAATTGGCAAAGAAAGGTGTTTGTTTTATAGAAGAATGTATCATGTTATTATAAGCAAACTTTGCCAATGGCAAAAGAATTGTCCAATTATCTTGTTGGCAGTTGATGATACATCTTAAATACTATTTCAAAATTTGATTAATACGCTCCGTTCATCCATCAATTTGAAGATGGAATATTGAAGATAGTTTTATATCAAATTTTAGAATCTTGAAAAGAGTCTGTCAAAATCTTGATACAAATTGAATTTTTCTATTAGATATAATATCCTTGGATAATCCATGATAGCGATAAATGTTGTCAAGAAAGAGTTTAGTTGTTTCTTCACTTGTGATAGATTTTGTACATGGTACAAAATGTGCCATCTTGATAAAACGACCTACTATCATGAATATAGAGTCATAAGAACTTGAGATTGAAAGATCTGTGATAAAATCTATAGAAATAGAAGACCATGATTATTCTGGAATAGGTAATGGTTGAAGAAGTCTATAGGATCAATGACAAGGAGTTTTTGATCTTAAACAAATGTTGCATGACTAAACAAAGTCTTTCACACCCTTCCACATTCGTGGCCACCAAAAATCTCTAGATATAAGTTCTAAAGTCTTCTTATATTTAAAATGACATGTTGTTGGAAAGTCATGATATGCTTGAAGAACTTGTAATTGTTCTTCTCTTTTTGGAACATATAATCGACCTTCAAAATAGAGTAGGTTGTTTTTGAACTCAAACTTAGAAGTATCTTAGGACTTAGAAGAAAGATTCTTGATATTGTGAACAAGAAGATTAGAAGACATACTTGATTCGATTTATTTCACAAGGGTCAAATCAATAGTCAATGTTGATTTCATTACTCGAAGATGAAAATGCTCTAGCTTCAAGAAAATTATCCTTTGCTGATCAAAAGATGCATCTCTTTGTTTTGGTGCAAGATAAGAACATCTAGAAAGGGTGTCTCACAAACCTTATTGTTTTCCAAGTCGATATGTGATCTTGAAATCAAATCTTAATAAAGACATGATCCAACAGGCATGGCGATAATTTAAAATACATGCTCACATGAAGTACTTGAGATTCTTGTGATCCGTATATATGATGACTGGATTAGAAGCATCTTCTAGATGTTGACGCCATTCTTGAAATGAATCTACGATTGTAAAAAGTTTTTTGGCATGGATTTCATAATTAATCTCAACCACTAAAATTTTTTTGGAATGAAAAGCTACTGGATGAAGTTTATCATCTATTTCCATTTGTGATAATACAACATCTAAAGC